ATGCCAGTGCATGGCAACAGGGGTAGCCAACCACTTGAAACATACCACATGTGCACCTTCGCTCCCAATTGGACTATATGGCTGTTTACTCCATGAACCACCTCATACTTGTCTTCTCCAGCCCAAGTAGGGAAACAATTCCTACTGATTTCCCTTTGCTCTTCAATTTTTCTCACTATATTAGGACAAATGTCCTCTGTGTACTTTTCTATTCCAGCTTTCTTCACCTGGATTCTTGCCATCATTCTCATTCTAATCCACTCAAACATTTCCACAATAGCCATATCCCTAGCTTCCAAAATGTAGTTGTTGAAGGACTCTGAAATATTATTAACTATCACATCACACACTGCATTAGGAGAAAAGAAACACCTTGCGCAGTGTTCTTTAGGGACAACCTTCAACCATTCAAATGGAGTTACCTGATATATTATATTAATATAAATTGAGACAATGAGATGTTATTTAAAATCATGAACACAGAGTATTGTTCAAAGCAAAGTAAAAAATACCTACAACAAAACCAAATAAAATACCTAGAACAAAAATACAACAGGTTCAAAGCATGAACAAAAGCATGAAATGAATACAAAGTTTTGCTAGAATGGATAACACAAAGTAAAGAACAAAGCATGAACACATATTATTCGAAGAAATACTGCAGGTTGCTCAGAATATTCAGGAAAAATACAACATATTATTTATACAACAGGATTGCAAGGAGAAGAATGTAGCAGGTTTTTGTAAGGAGAAAAATACCTTGCCATCCTTCTTAGGAACAAGATTTTGGATTTGAGTCATGCATCTGAGATGCTCCTTGACATTGTATGTGTTGGCTGCCTTCCAAAACCATTTCCTCAATTCTAGATCCCTCCACTTCTGCTTGAAATTGTTGTACATGTGCTTCAAACAATATCTGTGTTCTGCCCCCTCAATTTCACTCACAGCTTCAAGCAAACCCTTCTGTCTATCTGAAACAAAAATCCATTTTCTCTCCCTGTAATGATCTACATCTCTCAGTAGCCTTTTAAGAAACCACCTCCAAGAATTTTTCTTCTCAATTTCAATATATGTCCATTGCTATTGGTAGCATATTGTCATTGCCATCCCTACCAACTGCTGAAAGAAGTTGACCACCATGAACTGTCTTCAGAAAACATCCATCCAGCCCTATAATTGGCCTACAGCCAGTCAAAAATGCTTGTCTCATTGCAGATGACCAAACATACATCCTCATGAACTTTGGAGGTGAAAAGTCATTGTTCACCTTCAGTACTAGAGAACTACTAGGATTGTACTTGACTACTGTAGAACAATAGTCATATAGCCTCTTATACTGTTCCCCATAGTCAACCTTCAATAGAGAAAGGGCATACACCTTGGCTCTGTAGGCTTTGTGCATACTAACATCTACCCCACAATGCCTCTTGATTTTATTTTTCAGACTTGCCAAAGTCTCACCAGGATTGTCCCTCAGAGTATCTAACATTCTTTTCCCAAGATATTTGTAGTCAGCCTGTGTGTTCTCTGTCCTGTAAGAGCATGTGTGTTTTCCTTTCAAATTTTTGATCTAAAATGTGGACAAACCTCCAATAATTGAGGCCCTCAAAGACAGTCACACCCACTTTTGCATTGTGCTGTGATGAGCTTGGCTTCATTCTTGGGAAACTTCAAATCATATCCTTTTCTAACATACAAATCTCTAATCACATCCTTGAATTTTGCTATGCATGGAAATTTCTGACCAATTTTCAGCTTAAACCTTGACATATTAGTACTATCATTCCATTCATCAGGCTCTTCAAAGCAGTGGTCATCATCCTCAGCCTCACTGTACCAATCTTCTTCTCTAGCCCTTTTCAAACCTGCAGCTTCTTCTCTTGCTTTTTTTTTTCTGCTTTCTTCTTTGTTTCATCCATTCTCTTGCCCTCTTGTGTATCTTCTTAGCATGATCATGACCCCTCTGTTGGAAAATGTCATCATCATCAGGGCCTGGCCTTCTAGACCCTCCAATTCCCATTCAGATAATTCAGAGGACTCACCACTACTTTCTTCAGGTTCATACTCTGAATCCTCTGAATCTCCAACATGATCTTCTGTCCCCTCAACTTCTTGTTCTGCCCCCTCAGGTTCTTGGTCTGCCCCCTCAGCTTCTTGGTCTGCCCCCTCAGTTTGTTGTTCTGCCTTCTCATGAAGTTGTCATCCTCCTGGGCAATTGTCTGAGATCTATCTTCACCATGTTATGCTTCAGCTTCTTTAAGTGGCTCATCTCTCAGACCAGCTCCATTATGTGAACCAGCATCATTAGCATCTTCTGTAGGATCCACCTCACTTGAACCAGCATAATTAGTATCTTCTGTAGGATCCACCTCATGTGAACCAGCATCATTAGCATCTTATGTAGGATCCACCTCACTTGAACCAACATCATAACCAACATCTTGTGAACATGCATCATGGTATGATTCTTCTTCATCTTCTGGACAATAATTGTCAATTAGAATATCCTCTTCTGTTTGTGGATATTCAGTAAGTGGGATCTCTTCTTGTGCATCCATCAGATCACATCAATGTCCAATTTTTGTAGAGGGCCATGCAAATCTTAAAAGTAAAGTGGGATGACATATTTCCCTGTATACATCTTCACCAACTTCAAAATATCATTGTCACTGGCAATCTGAATCAGCTTACCTATTTGTAGAGTTTTTCCAGGCTTGTGTGAAAAATATCCACAATGGATGACTTGCCACCTGCCTTATTGTACACATCCATTATCTCATATATAGGCAATTTGTCCATGTCATAGTAGTCAACTGCAACTCTTTGACCACCAAAGTAGTGAACAAAGGGCTCCCATTTTATCAATCCACCAACTCTAACATCAAATACAATAGCCATATTCTGCAATTCAATAAGTATGATATGATTAAAATATGAAATCACGGACCTCATCATAAAAAGAATACTTTATGCATCAACACTTCCTATGCTTCAATATCACAGAAGGACCCAAATTCTTCTTACAAACAGCATCAATGATTCCCAGCTTAAACCATTTAACAATAACCACATATTCAACATACAGATAAGATAAAGTAAACAACCCTAATTTCCAAATCACAAAACCATAACAGCTTCAATACTTTATACAGATAGTATAAAATGAAACAATTCAACCAACAAACAACATCAACACTTTGCGCCATTAAACAATTTCACACAAGGAGCACAATTCGACCTACAAATAGTATATAAATCACCCTAATTCCCAAATTAGAAAGCCCTAAATTACATTAAAAAAGCCTTAAACTCACAATCAGAAAGCCAAATTTTAAAATTAGAAAGCCCTAAATTCACAATCAGAAAGCCCTAAACTCACAATCAGAAAACCATAATTTCAAAATCATAAAGCCCTAATTCCCAAAGTAGAAACCTAATTTCAAAATTAGAAACCCTAATTTCCAAATTAAAACCCTAATTTCAAAATCAAAAACCCTAATTCCCAAATCAGAAGCCTTAATTCCCATATCAGAAATCCTAATTTTAAAATAAAAAACCCTAATTTCCAAATAAAAAAACCTAATTAACAAATCAAAAGCACAAAATTTTACCAAATCATAAGATAGCGAATTTTTCTAATTTCCAAAATAAAGCAATCGAGTTTCCCTAATTTTCAAATCACAAGCACGCACTTCACCAAAAACCCTATTTTTGAAACCACATAGCATAAATACCCTAATTTTACAAATTCAACTATTGGATTTCCAGGTAATAACCTTTAATCGTCGAAGATTCGAAAAGTACCTTATGCGCCATCAAAAAATTGAGAAGAATGTCGCTACAAATACAACCATAGCTTTGGAATATCGAAAATTACTCCTCCAATCGGCTCCAACATTAAAGATAAAGAAGAACTTTGTTATGCGCCATCGATCCTTCTACAAATTAATAGTTGAAAATCGGCAATTGTTTTGGAGAATCGAGGTGCTGAAATTGGGATTTTTTTTTAGAGAATCGGGGAGAGAGAGAGAGAGAGAAGAGAGAGAGATCGACTTTCAAAAGTTAGAAATGATTTTTATTGATTCAGATGAGGGTGACTTCTCAAAGGACAAGGTTATAACGGGATGTTCACAAAAAAATGTGACGGTGTTAACACCCAGACATAAGTTGGGGAACGTACGCTGACCAAACTACATTAGAAGGGGATTTGACGCATTTTTTAAATTAGAGGGGGATAACGCGCAAATTTAGTATGATATATGGACATTTGGTGCAATTTATCCGAAAATTATGTGAATTGATGAATAGTTAATTGAAGTTGAGGTGATATGTAAGAATAATTAGTCAATATTATTTAATTATTGTTATATTATTGATAATAGTTGAATTAGTTTAAAGTACTTTATTACCATTTGTTAGCACTCGATTCCATTTGGCCACGTAAAACCACCTGTCACCAAGTGTGGTGTGGCTGCCCAACATACGCGCCACCTCACTCCGCTGCAGCGAAGAGTCGTATAAATCCACACAGCCGCAGGCTCGTACGTGAGTGTACCCTTCATCCATGGAGAATCTGAGTACCATCTCCAACAATTCATGCTTCAGTTGGCCCATCACTCGTCTCAACGCCGGCGAAAAAGCTCCATGTTCACCGGCTAAGCTGAGGTTCCAAACTAAATCTCTCCTGGTCGCCGTTAAATCAGTATTGAAATCCGACTCGGCCAATTTCTCTCCTGCTAACCAGCCTGGGGATGATGTTGTTCGGTTGGAGCCTGATTATGAACGCACACCTCGCAATCGTCCTCTCCGAACCCCTCACAGCGGGTAAAATCACATCTCTCTCCCCCTCCCTCAATCTCTTTTTTCGCTCAAAGTTCACCTAGAAACTTTCATAGATTAAAATTCTTTAAATAGGTATCATTATGATGGAACCGCACGAAGATTCTTCGAGGGGTGGTACTTTAAGGTCTCAATCCCAGAATGCAGGCAGAGTTTTTGCTTCATGTACTCGGTGGAGAACCCGGCATTTCCAAGAAAGTTGAGCAGGATTGAGGAAGCACAGTATGGGTCCAGGTTTACGGGAGTTGGAGCTCAAATTCTAGGAGCTGATGACAAATACATTTGCCAGTACAGTGAGGAGTCGTCGAATTTTTGGGGAAGTATGTTTCTTTGTTGTAACGTGAACCTTGTAGCTATTCTCATTTTCTTGGGGGAATCGAAGGATCATGACAGATGATTGGGACTTCTGGATTTGTTCGATGAGATTTCAGTTTTTAGAGAAGATATAAAATAGGTCGTAACTAGAACTTTGGTTTTAAATGATGAACATTGCAAACGCTGTAGTTCTGAGTGTGTACATCATCTTTGTGTGAGATTGAGTCAGTATTGTGTTGGGTGTTTCATTTTGATTTGCCAGACAGGGGAGAGCTGATGCTAGGTAATACTTTCGTGGGGCAAGCAAATATGAAGCCTCCTAAGAAAGAGATTCCTCCACAGGTCAGTAAGATTATCCTCTTGTTGGTGTTGAGCCTAACCTGTCTGCGTTATCTTTAATTCACATTCAATTTTTATTCTATATGATAAATGGTTTGTTCAGGAGTTCAACCGAAGAGTTTTAGAAGGTTTCCAGGTTACACCACTTTGGAATCAGGGCTATATTCGCGATGATGGAAGGTAAACATTCTTCCACGACCTAAATGAAAGCATAAAAATGATTGTAAGATCCTATCAATTGGGCGGTATATTGCAAAAGATGTTTCACATTAGTTGATATTCTGGACAGTGATTGGTTTGGCAAGCTGTCCTGTAATCTTTTCCTCTCTCGAGTGTTGCCTAATCTTAACATGCGCACTTACATGTATCTGGAGGATTATAGATGTAGATCTCATTGCTTATTGAAAGGAATTAGAATATGGGAGTTATTATTTGATGTTCATGTCACATTTATTTGTCTTTTATCTTTAAGGAACATTTATTTTATTAAGTATCATGATTCTGCCTAATCAAGCCATGTAAACTGTGTACTTTATATAAGTAAGATCTCGTCCATATGAACTCCTTCAGTTTTATCGTTCTTATGGCAATTGTCCTATTTAGATCTATTTTTGTTGTGTATTTTGACATGATTTAGCTTCACAGAACGAATTATGCAGAGATCGTGAAAACGGCACGCTGGGCGTACAACACACGCCCCGTTTATGGATGGGGAAACGTTGGGTCAAAGCAAAATTCCACAGCAGGATGGCTTGCTGCCTTCCCTGTCTTCGAGCCTCATTGGCAAATATGCATGGCAGGTGGACTTTCAACAGGTGATCTCCTTTAGGTGCAGTTTATTTTTTCTCTTGCGCAAATTGAAATCATGATTGTTTTTGTTCTCGACTTTTTGCTGTTTTCTTTTGGCTTTGGGTGAATATACAACATAGAGCAGGTTGAATGATGTGTATACTTTTCTGCTTTAAGCTGTAACCCTTTTGCTCATAAAAGTTTGCTTATAATGCCAGGTAAGGAAATTGATTAAAATTATTGAGTTGAATTTTTATTCCTTTTTATTAACTGAAGGTTGGATTGAGTGGGGTGATAAACGATACGAGTTTAGAAATGCTCCGTCATATTCTGAGAAGAACTGGGGTGGCGCCTTCCCGAGAAAGTGGTTCTGGGTACATGTGGTGATATCTGATATATTATTATAGGATAAAATATAATCCTCGATCATTTAGTATGGATCTCTTTTACATACTTTCGGTCCATGTTTAGTGCCTTGTTTTTCTTTGCAGGTGCAATGTAATGTATTTGAGGGAGCTGATGGAGAAGTTGCATTGACTGCTGCTGGTGGACTGAGACAGCTGCCTGGATTGTCCGAGACTTATGAAAATGCTGCACTAGTAATCATAAATATGATGGATCCAATTTTTATATTTATCACTGCTTATGATTAGAAGAAATTATATTATGTGCAGTCGGGAAAAATGCATATTGCTAGAATTTGGACACTGGGGACCCCATTCAGTTAATATACTTCTGAATGTTATGATCTGCATGTTATCATATTAAACGAAAAGGAAAAGGAAACATTGTTCATGCAAAAGGATTTGTAATAAATTCATATAAAAGAAGATTAATTGGAGGATAATAAATGGTAATGGCTGCCACCTTTCGTTGTGTCGAGTCTCCATTATTGGTTTCTCTTAACTTTACATTTTTTTTTTTAATATGATGCAATACATTGATCGAATTGTGCATGCTTAGATTGGAGTTCACTATGGAGGGGTTTTCTATGAGTTTGTACCATGGAATGGGTCAGTCAACTGGGAAATTGCTCCATGGGGACATTGGTGCATTTCTGCAGAGAACGAAGAGCACACGGTAATCATACCACAGTAGATTCTTTCCTCTGTTTCCTTGACCTGCACATTATATCTGTGAATAATACAGTAACTCTGCTTGTTCATAATAATTTATACATAAGGTTTGTATACTCTCTCGCACCTTGGTAGGGCTCATTTGATAATTTTTTTTTTTTATTAGTGGACCTCCTCACTCCATGTTGGAGTATGTAAAGCCTTACTTACATTGAACATTGCTCTTAATTACAAGAGCCACCCAGGAGGTCTGCATTATTCATAAAAAAAGACTAAAAAAAAAAGACACAGGGTTTGTTAAAAATACAAAGACTAAAAAAATAAAAAAATCCTTAAATATGCTTCTGTGTTCTGCATCACTCCTTTTGTAAGGAAAAAAGTATTTCACTTATACCTTTAAATTCACGTGAACCTATTTTCGTTTTTTTTTTTTAAAGAAAAGTTCAGACGTGTTTGTCTTTTATAGTGAGACTCACAAGTTCTATTAGATTTGAGCCTAAAGCTGGATTTTCATCTGAGCAGGTGGAACTAGAAGCAAAAACAAAAGATCCTGGGACCACATTACGTGCTCCCACCTCAGAGGCTGGCCTTGCTCCTGCTTGTAAAGACACTTGTTTTGCGGACCTTAGACTCCGGATATTTGAACGGCGTCATGATGGAACTGAAGGAAAGGTATGATTTGGTGGGGATAAATGACCAAGGTTTGGTAGGTTCTTATTTTATTGTATTTAATGTTTTTTTGTGGTAGGTTATATTGGATGTTACAAGTAACATGGCGGCAGTAGAAGTAGGGGGAGGGCCGTGGTTCACAGCATGGAAAGGCAAGACGTCAACACCAGAGGTTATCAGTCGTGTTGTTGGGCTGCCTGTTGATGTTGAAGGTCTATTCGACTTTGCTCCTTTCCTTAAACCCCCTGGCTTGTAGTCATTGGAACATCTGGTTCCCAACTGCTCTTTATCTTGTGTTGTAGTCTCTCCTTATTTTTATCATGATCTTCATTAACTGTGGAGATTTTGCTTTAAAATTGAATGTGAATTATTGTAATGATGTTAATTATAATAGAATGTCCCTTAATAATTTTCTTTTGGCTTTCATGCAATTAAAAGGGACAACATATCAGTGTCTGTATATGTTTGACCAACTGTGAAAGTTGTCCATGTTTTGACTGAATATAATATTATTTAATATAATCTCATGCCCAGACATGAATCTACTTATCCTTCAAGTCGCACTGCAAGGCCCCGTTGTTTTTAAAAGAAGTCTGCCGAATATTTTTCAAAAATCATAATTAAATTTTCGTAAATCATTTTTCAATTCGGGCATTACTCAATCAACATTCATGATGTGGTCGGTAGTAGCGGCTCATGCAGGACCGTTTGTGATACGGGTTCCAGTCGCACTTAGCTGGGTGGTTCAATTTGGTAGGCGGATGCTTTGGTAGACGGAGACTTTGGTAGGCGGATGCTTTGGTAGGTGGAGGCTAGCACAGCGTGAGTTAGGCAGGACACCTTGGCACCTAGGTAGCTGGACGTCCCGCTAGGGAGACCCGAGCTCAGAGGTGGTATCGTGTTCAAGTCATGAAGAGGTTCGCAACCTCAAGGACTCTTAGGATCTTGACCTAATTCAGATAAAGACTCATGGTATGATAAGAACTCTTCAACCT